GGGGCTCGCGGTCAGAGGGGAGGCTCGGGGGCGCAGGGACGGCAGAGCCCGGCCGAGTCCCCTCCACCCGCACTATGGGCCGGCGGCGCTGGGGTCCAGGCCGCACTAGGCCCCAGGCATCGGGCCGCTCCTCCGGCCCGCTCCCCGTGGGGCCTCCCCGTGTCCGACTGCCCAGGCCACACCACGCACTGCCCCGGGCCGGGCCCAGCCAAGCGGGGACGGGTATAAATACGGCTCCCTCCCTCTCCCCCCCACACCATTGTGGTCCATGATTCGGCGCGGGGCAGCGTGGGAGCGGAAATCACCACGCCGGAAGGGCGGCACCGGAAGCGCCTGGACAGCGGAAGCGGAAGCCGTCGCCGCCAAGGGGCGGATGGGCAAGGAGGGGAGAACTGAACTAAGCCGAGACCCCGCGCTTAACGGGAGGGCTGCGGGCCTCGTTTCGGTGGGCAAAACGAATAAGCCCCACGTGAGCTACATCTCCCAGTATGCACCGCGGTCCCGGGCAGGGACTGTGGTTCCTAGCCCATCGCATGGGGGGACGGGACTTTTTTTTACTCTGGCATGCTGGGAGCTGTAGTCCCGTGACTTGCTCTCCGCCACGGGCCGCGCTTAGGGAATGCTGGCAGCCCGCAGGGAGTCTGAGAAGGTTCGCGCCCTGCGCGTCTCTGCGAGCGCCCCCCGGGGGGAGAGGAAGGGCTTGACCGACAGGCCTAGGCTGCAGCCCCCATCCCGGGAGGGAAGAATTGAGGCTAAATTGCAGGTGATGCCTGAGGATATTTACGACATTTCTTTCCATGGCTCTGCTGCTCAGCTCTGGTGAGACAAGTCTCGGAGTTGTAGCCTTGTTAGTCTGTAAGCCTGCGTCTACTCCTTGCAGCTAATTTGGGCCATCGGAGGTATCCCAGAATAGCTGCCCTGCGTCTTAACGGCGTGCCTGTTATTTGGAAATATATAAGGGGCTCGCTATTCTGACGTCTTTTAAACCTTCTTCCACAAAGAAGAAGGGACATTTCGGAATAGCCAGTTATTTTGGTGCTGCGTATACAGTGCCAAGTTATAAGATAAGCTATTTCAACATTTACTCAGAATAAGATATGCAATTTGTGTAGCTCAAATTGTGTAGCTTATTTCAAGCTACGGGTGCAGTGTAGATGCACCCTAACTGGGGGCGGAGGCTGCGATGCCACTCAGCTGGGCGCTTTGCTTTGGCGAGGTGTGAGCCCTTAGGGTTCCACCAGTGGCTCTCAAGTTTCGTCTGTAACCACTTGATAAAGACACCAACTTTGGGGTCTGACTGACTGCAGACTCTCCCTCTATTGCATGGCTCTGGCAGCTTGTTCATTATGAAAAAAAGCAAAAGTTAAAAGACTAGCAGAGAGAGCGCTCCTCCCTCCCCTCTCCCCCCGCCGCCCCATGGCTATGCTGACCATATGTTCCGGATTTTCCAGGACAGTCCCACATTTAAATCTGAACTGGTGGCCACGTAATCACTAAAAATGTGCTGGAAACAGCAGCGCAGCTAGAAGCAGCTGCGCACTGCTGTTTCCTCTCCCTCCTGCAGGAACGCAAGTATGCAGGGACCTTCCTAAAGATTTTTCCTTCTGCTCTAGAACCTAGCCAATATGAGCAGAAGGAGGCGGTGCCTGACTTCTAGTCCTCTGTTCTCTGGCAGACAGATAGTCCTGTTGGGAACCACCGGTAAAGCAGCAGCATGTAAGTGGCCCCACTTTCCCTCCCAGCCTGCCTTCACTGAGACCCCACTGCTGCTCTCCCCTTTAATTTTAGTAAGAGCCATGTGGGTCGTCTTAGATTTAAAAGGGCAGAACCACATAGTAACCTGGCTTCAGCTGAGCTGGAAATCAGATGATTCCTGGTTCTGCACAGAGTGCCGGCTTTGTCCTGCTTTACAAATCTAAGAGCCCTGTGGCTTTTCTTAAATCAGTGGTTCTCAAAGTGCAGCCCAGTGGTCCGCAGCTGGAGCTCAGCTAAGCTCCCTCCCCCCTCCACTGGGATAAAGGTGACTAGAGGGGCGCTGGCTGGGATTGTATATTTCAGCTCTTGCAAGCTGGTGCCGGGTCGGGCGCCTGAGGCAGCGGGAGGCTGGGGCAAGTTATGGCTGTGAGCAGCGCTACAGACAGCGAGAGGCAATGCACAACTCCAGGAAGGGGGCATTGCAGGCTAGGCACCCTGCACCTGCCCATGTGGGGAGTTGTTGGCATCAGGTATCCACTGTGGCAGGAGCTGCCAGGGTTGTGTGGACTGCCTGCACGTGGGACTTGTCTCCCACAGCAACTTCTCTGGAGTCTTTTGTCCCAGCAGCAGGCAAGTAAAGTTTTAGCCTGATGCGGACTGCAGTGGCTTTGGTGCGGGGCCCCTTGTGGCCAGGCTGTGACAGACTTGACATCAGAGCAGCACCTGATGTGTGGACGGGCTCCACGTAGGCATGTGTGGGAGGCTGGCCTGGGTTCCATCCTGGTGCATTGACTCCCAATCCAAGCACCCACCTCACCCCTTATTGGGACCCACCAGCTTGGAGTGGTTGAGATTGCAAATCACTGATAGGAATGTTACATTTAGATTAATTAAATAAGTGAATAGTCAATAGAATTTTCATCAACTATAGGAAGAGCAACAAGAATGATTAAAGGTCAGAGAACATGACCCATGAAAGAAGACTGAAAGAATTGGGCTTGTTTAGTTTGGAAAAGAGAAGATTGAGGGGGGACATGATAGCGGTTTTCAGGTATCTAAAAGGATGTCACGAGGAGGAGGGAAAAAACTTGTTCTTCTTGGCCTCTGAGGATAGAACAAGAAGCACTGGGCTTAAACTGCAGCAAGGGAGGTTTAGGTTGGACATTAGGAAAAAGTTCCTAACTGTCAGAGTGGTTAAACACTGATATAAATTGCCTAGGGTGACTGTGGAATCTCCATCTGTGGAAATATTTAAGAGTAGGTTAGATAAATGTCTATCAGGGATGGTCTAGAACAGTGGTTCTCAAGTTGTTTCAGTCCACGGACCACTAGGCCAATCAAAAATTTTTTGTGGACCACCTCATTTTTGAGACATGATAAAAAAGAGCAGACAAATATTTTGGTTTGAAACTTATTTCTTACTAACAGATTTTTGGATTCTCTTCTCACTGACAAGCTTTTCAGTGTTTGGAGTGGTACTTGATAATGCACAATGAATATCGCTTTCCACTGCAAGCCGATTCCTCTGTTTGGACTTAACGTGCAACAAACACAAAAATCCAGTCTCACACATATAAGTTGATGCAAATGGCAAAAGAAATCTGACTGCATGTGCTGACCGATTTGGTTAACTCCCGGTCACGCTGGCCCCAAACTTCTCTATAGTAGACTGCTGGTACATGTCTTGAGCTGCAAAATAATTTTTCAGATCCAAGAATTCCTCCTGCAGATCCTCTGAAACACTGTTAACATCTGTTGTAAATGGATTCCTGATGAAAGATAATCCATCCCTTGTCCTATCCACCTCCAAAAAGTATCATTGGAATTCATCTCGTAGCTTCCGTAAATGATTGAGAGTTTGCATCCAACTGGCTTCCGGGTGCAGTGTAGATGCACCCTAACTGGGGGCGGAGGCTGCGATGCCACTCAGCTGGGCGCTTTGCTTTGGCGAGGTGTGAGCCCTTAGGGTTCCACCAGTGGCTCTCAAGTTTCGTCTGTAACCACTTGATAAAGACACCAACTTTGGGGTCTGACTGACTGCAGACTCTCCCTCTATTGCATGGCTCTGGCAGCTTGTTCATTATGAAAAAAAGCAAAAGTTAAAAGACTAGCAGAGAGAGCGCTCCTCCCTCCCCTCTCCCCCCGCCGCCCCATGGCTATGCTGACCATATGTTCCGGATTTTCCAGGACAGTCCCACATTTAAATCTGAACTGGTGGCCACGTAATCACTAAAAATGTGCTGGAAACAGCAGCGCAGCTAGAAGCAGCTGCGCACTGCTGTTTCCTCTCCCTCCTGCAGGAACGCAAGTATGCAGGGACCTTCCTAAAGATTTTTCCTTCTGCTCTAGAACCTAGCCAATATGAGCAGAAGGAGGCGGTGCCTGACTTCTAGTCCTCTGTTCTCTGGCAGACAGATAGTCCTGTTGGGAACCACCGGTAAAGCAGCAGCATGTAAGTGGCCCCACTTTCCCTCCCAGCCTGCCTTCACTGAGACCCCACTGCTGCTCTCCCCTTTAATTTTAGTAAGAGCCATGTGGGTCGTCTTAGATTTAAAAGGGCAGAACCACATAGTAACCTGGCTTCAGCTGAGCTGGAAATCAGATGATTCCTGGTTCTGCACAGAGTGCCGGCTTTGTCCTGCTTTACAAATCTAAGAGCCCTGTGGCTTTTCTTAAATCAGTGGTTCTCAAAGTGCAGCCCAGTGGTCCGCAGCTGGAGCTCAGCTAAGCTCCCTCCCCCCTCCACTGGGATAAAGGTGACTAGAGGGGCGCTGGCTGGGATTGTATATTTCAGCTCTTGCAAGCTGGTGCCGGGTCGGGCGCCTGAGGCAGCGGGAGGCTGGGGCAAGTTATGGCTGTGAGCAGCGCTACAGACAGCGAGAGGCAATGCACAACTCCAGGAAGGGGGCATTGCAGGCTAGGCACCCTGCACCTGCCCATGTGGGGAGTTGTTGGCATCAGGTATCCACTGTGGCAGGAGCTGCCAGGGTTGTGTGGACTGCCTGCACGTGGGACTTGTCTCCCACAGCAACTTCTCTGGAGTCTTTTGTCCCAGCAGCAGGCAAGTAAAGTTTTAGCCTGATGCGGACTGCAGTGGCTTTGGTGCGGGGCCCCTTGTGGCCAGGCTGTGACAGACTTGACATCAGAGCAGCACCTGATGTGTGGACGGGCTCCACGTAGGCATGTGTGGGAGGCTGGCCTGGGTTCCATCCTGGTGCATTGACTCCCAATCCAAGCACCCACCTCACCCCTTATTGGGACCCACCAGCTTGGAGTGGTTGAGATTGCAAATCACTGATAGGAATGTTACATTTAGATTAATTAAATAAGTGAATAGTCAATAGAATTTTCATCAACTATAGGAAGAGCAACAAGAATGATTAAAGGTCAGAGAACATGACCCATGAAAGAAGACTGAAAGAATTGGGCTTGTTTAGTTTGGAAAAGAGAAGATTGAGGGGGGACATGATAGCGGTTTTCAGGTATCTAAAAGGATGTCACGAGGAGGAGGGAAAAAACTTGTTCTTCTTGGCCTCTGAGGATAGAACAAGAAGCACTGGGCTTAAACTGCAGCAAGGGAGGTTTAGGTTGGACATTAGGAAAAAGTTCCTAACTGTCAGAGTGGTTAAACACTGATATAAATTGCCTAGGGTGA